ATCCACATAAACACACATGTGTTTTCATCTTCTACCTTCTTCAAAGCTGACTTAGTGGTTAGGGGACAACATGATGATGGCATAGTGGTCAAGCTTGTTCTTCCTGAGTGTGTCTTTTGAGGATATTTGGGCTGCCTCTGGAGCCACAGGGTCTTGGGCCACTGGAAGGTGGGTGATGCGTGGATCTTTTTGGGACCGTGGACGCCTCTCGGCATTGTCTTCTTGCCTTTCAAGGCCTTAATTTTGGCTCTAGGAGGGGCGGACGCTTCCCTCTTCGCTTTCAGCACCACCTTGGTTTGGAAATGTCATTTTAAACATCTGGTCTGTGATTTTTCTCTTCTTGATGGAGAAATGAGGGACAAAGGGGGTATCCTTGTTCTACAAACCAAGTATTCCAGACAGAGGACGCTCTTACTCTGATTTTGAGGTTCTCAGCATTTCCATGATTCTTCGTCCCATCGTCACAGCACGGACTTTAGAACCAACGTGACTTGCCTACCCTCAGTGCAATGTCTAGTGACATCTAGCACCCACTTCTGTCAAGCCTACACAGGCCATCCAGCTCTGGGCAAGGGCAGATCTGCCTGTCTTTAGCTGTGCATTACAGAACTGTATTGTGAAACGGCAGAGCACAGGGAACAGTTGGAGAAGCACAATAAACCCTAACCCAGTTGGCAAGATCAGCAATGTTTGCTGTGTGCACACGCAACACTTAGCCTATAAACATTTGGGGAGATGGCTTCTAAGCATAAGGACAGAAATACCCACTCTATAAAATAAGCACAGTGTAACAATGCTCAGGGATATGTCCTTACTCTGCAATGACTACAATGTTGTGCACGATGCTTCATGCTATATTCTAGAGGCTGAAGCAGGAGGATCTTAAGTTCAAAGACAATCTGGGATGCACATGAGAAAATGAAAAAAAAATAAGAGGACTGGAATGGCTCAAAGTTAAAGCATTTGCTACTCTACCACAAAAACCTGAATTCAGTTCCCAGTAGTTTACACCTTTAACTTCAGCTCCAGGGGATCCAATACCCTTCACAGATGTACACACACACACACACACACACACACACACACACACACACACACACACACACCCCTTTGCACCTTCCCACTGGATTTCTTCTTGAAGTTGACTGGCCTGAAACCCCAGTTCAGGAAGTCCTGTTCATATAGGACACCTTTCTCTGGAAGCACCCACAGGAAGATGAAGCTCCAAGTCCTGTGTTTCAACTCTAAACACTAAGGACAGGCAGGACTCGTGGGGGAGGGGCAGTACTATGGGGACTATCAGCCAAGAAGCTTATGGACTTTGCTGTTCGCTTGTTATCTTAAGGGCAATCGCTGGAGGAAAACAGGCACTATGCTCAGATTAACTGCAAATGAAAATGGCATGCCTACCTCTCATTGCTAGAGTTTTACGGTGCAAACACCAGGAAGTCTGAAGTAGCTGCCATTTTTGAAGAGTGTTAAGGGACAGGAGCTTTTAAAAGCCATCACTGGGGTTGGAGGGATGACTCAGTGGTTAAGAGCACTGACTGTTCTTCCAGAGGACTCAGGTTAGATTCCTAGTGTATCACAGGCCACACAGAGGTTCACAGCTGTATGTAACTCCAGTTCTAGGATCTGACACCCTTTTCTGGCCTTCAAAGTTACTAGACATTTAAGTGGCATACAGACATGCTTGCAGGCAAAACACTCAAACATATAAAATACTGAAAAAAATTTAAGCTATTACTCCAACCCCTACACTAGTTAATCTCCTACAGAACAGAGGGCTGGCTAATAGTATTAAAGCATAATTGTAGTTCACAAACTCTCAAGGTAGTAAGACTTTACAAACAACAACCCCTTAGTCCATATTCTAGCTCTTATTTGGATCTCCTGTGCAACATTCCTAATAAGTTATTGACTGTCTCCAAGGTTGGAAAACTACTAACTCATTATATACTTATTTTTTTAATCTCATCATGTAGTCTAGTCTTGAACTCTGGATTCTCCTGTCTCAGCCTCCCAAATGCTAGGCATACAGACATGTACCACTATAGCTTACTCATGGGAGGGCTGTTAGTATGAAATTGGCATTCCTTCTGCATCTCTGCATGCTCCAAGTTATTCTTTTTCCCACATGCGAATTTCTCTGTGAACAGCAGGATACCACCCAGCTGGGTGTCGGTGGCCCACACCTTTAATCACAGCGCTCAGGAGGCAGAGGCAGCCGGGTTTCTGTAAGTTCAAGATCAGCCTAGTCTACAGAGAGAATTCCAGGACAGCCTCCAAAGCCACAGAGAAACCCTGTCTCAAAAAACCAAAACAAAACAAAAAACAACAACAAAAAAACCTTACTTTCCCAAAGGCACTCTTCACCCCTCTGGGATACAATGTTACGGATGCCCTAGGTTTGTGTAGTGGGAGGTGGGTAGTTCCAGGTGGGGGCCCTGGGTTCCATGTCCACTGATGAGTCCCTGAGAAAGCTACTCAGTGTCCGTACTTCCTTTTCTCCATTTGTATAAGACATCTACCTGACCATTTTGTAGCGGAGGGGTGGGGAGTGAAGAAGCCTATGGATTGTATAGACAAGTCCCTTGAAAGAACGTTCAGTATAGGGCTAGACAGGACTCAACCAGATTCCTTCTTTTCCTCCTCCACTGGAAGTTGATATACACCTGGGTGCTTCTTTGGGGTCTGTCCTGCCCACTGCACCCCAATGACATAGTGAGACCACTCAGTGTCTTTCCCCCACTTGTGGTTCTGTGAACTTGACAATTGTGCAAACTTGTGCCCAATGTTACTTGTATGTATTTTCCCGGCTGACAGTTGGGCACTGGATCACCAACTGGAGTGCTCTTCCCTGGGAAGACCACCTCTTCCACGCCCAGCTTTACCCAGCTGCCTGAAGCTGCGTAGGGTTGAGGCCTTAGGAACTTCCCCGTTGTTTGGTGTTTGTTGGTGTCCTCCTTGGGCCCTCACGGTGGTAATGTTGGTGAGAGCTTATGGGTGTATCTTCTGATGTTACTAGGAAACAGTCTCAAAGCAAACTCCTCTGGTTCTTACAACCTTTCTGCCCCTGTTCAGCAATGTTCCGAGCTTTAGGTATCCACTGGGACTGAGTCCACAACTCTGTATTTTGACTGGTTGTAGTTTTCTGTAGTGGTCTCCACCTAAGAACAAAGCGTCTACTTTTCTTTGAATTGACTCCTAAATTGAAAGACAACCAGTGCCACCTTTGGTTAGTGTTAAGAACTGGTGACTATACATTGTAAATCTACAAAATATCACAAAATTGTTCACTTTAAAATACTCTGAGATCAGAGCCGCAGAATGCTGAAGTGAGTCAGCCAACAGATCAGTGTGATCTCTTGCTGGCACACATATCCAGGCACTTCCATAGGAGCCCGCTCAATCTGGGAATCCTTCATTTCATCTGAGATTTAGGTTGATGGATGACATTTATTGAAATAGGACACAGATGACATCATAGCTTCCCCACATATGGACCTAGAGTCGGTAGTGTTAATACAAACGTGCCCATCTGAGGTCATGAAGCTGGTCAGAACTCAGCTGTGAAATTTCCACCATTTCTTAAAATAAAAAAGTTTGGATGACTAAATTTGAGAACTAAAAACTCATTTTATTACTACTTGGGATACTTTATAGAAACTAAAATGGTGGCTAGAGAAAGCAGAAGTAATACTATCTAGCACGTCACTGCTACTCACCTCTTAATGTATTCCGCAGGCTAGATTGTAAACTTCATGCTAGTCAGACAGACACTAAGACACATTACTGTTCTGTATGCCTTGAACTGTTCCTGCCCTCTCCTCCATACATTTACTGCAATGTCCACAGAATCCCCAGCTCCCCAGTATCTAGGATATATGATATAAAGCAGTGCACAAGGTCAGAAATGGTGGTGCACCCCTTTAATCCTGGCACTCCAGAGGTAGAATTTTTGTGAGTTCCAGGCCAGTCAAGGCCACAAGGTGAGACCCTGGGGGGAGAGGGCAGAAGTGTACCCAGAGTGTACTTTAGGAACCAAGCCTTTAAACTGACCTACAATACTGCACTGGGAAATGACCTAGTGAACATAAAACTGTTAACCAAAAACATCCCTACACAAGCAACATTACATAGACTGAACAGGTCAGATTACTAGGAGGAAGTCTGTTCTCCCTGGAGGTTCCATGACAAACACCTGAAAACAAAAGCTTACCATGTAAAGACTAGACTAGACACCCAGTGATGCAAGGACTCCACCTGCAGGCAGAGAATGGAACAGACCACGGGGTGAACAAGGCATACTCTCTAGTGCTGGCAGTTAAAAAGGACTAGTGTGGTGTTGGTGGCGCACACCTTCAATCCCAGCACTGTGAGGCCAGCCTGATCGACAGAGCAGGTTCCAGGTCCGGCTCCAAAGCTACAGAGAAACTCTATCTCAACAAAACAAAACAAAAAGATAAAAAATATTGGGGAGGGGGATGAACTAAGTCGAGCAGTTCTGCTTAAAGTTCAAAAACAGGGTGACCTGAAGTAACTGTGATACTCACCTGATGCTCCCTCTCCCTTACAAGGATAGCTGATGTCTTGCTGAGTTTCCCAAGACCAGTGAACAGTCAAGTCCCCAACTCACACATCTTCGGGGGAGGCAGGATATCAGTGTAGCAAAACCGTGTGTTTGTGTGTGTGTGACACTTTCCTAGTGTTCAGACTTGCACAGGACACAAAGCTGGAGTGCTGGTGTTTACAGGGAGTAATAATTTATGGGGATAAGTGACATGCTGAAAATGACCAGGAAAACACTGTTATCTGGAAATACAAATGCCTGCTGGGCAAGGCTGTGTAACCTTGTTACCCCATCCACTGGGAAGCAGGTCCAGGCCACACATAAAGCAGACCTTATCTTATCTCCAAAAGCACTAAGTATCAAAAAATCGGTTCCTTTCCCCTTTAAGGACAAAAAGACAACAACAAAAACACCATGATGCCAGGAGTTTGAAAAGTATATAACACATTTTTTCCTTTATTTACAATCAAGTTTGGTTGGGACACATAATTACATAAATAAAAGATGTGCCCTGGCCAGCGAATTTCAACTCATCAACACAAGAACTCTGGCAGCAAACCAACAGGAGAGTTGCAAGCAGGGAAAGATGTCAGAGAAAGACCGTTGACTCTCTTCCCTAACTCTAGCACTCGTGTCCCTACTGGCCAGAGAACCAGTGTGGAGGCAAAAAATAAAGTGCAAAGTAAATGTGACAAACACATAGTGCTTCAGCCACCCAGACACAAAGCTCAGACACGTGCACAGGTGAGCGTATAGATGATGCTTTCCCAGCCTTCTCATAGCCAGTCCTAGACAGGCTTCTTGGACAGAACCCTAAGGTCACTGCAGGCACAGTGGCTGAACTCACCAGCCACTGCAGGCTTCAGCAAGAATGCCCAGGTGAGCACTCAGCCAGCTGTTGTGCACCTGCAGTGATGCAGGATACAGATGTGTTCTCCTCTGCTGCTAATCTACCGACAGGGGAAGGTTGGCAAAAGTCCTTTCCAAGTACTCCCCGCCTCTCACACACAGGCAAAGCTAGGTGGAAATGTTGGCAGGAAGGCAGACGGAGTTCTGAAGGCCAGCTGCAGATGCAGGTTTCAGCAATGAGACCAGACCACACCCCCAGCCCTGAAAATAGCTCCACCCATCCTTTATCACATGAGGACAGGCCCTGCATTTGGTTTCCACTGACCCAATGACTACAGTGAGTCCCTTGGGTAAATGACCCCAGGAAGGGAGTGTGCATCAGGCCACAACAGACTTTGGAAAGACAAGAAAAGCACAGGGGACCCAATACCCAGTGTGTGGGGTTGTCCTTGGCACTGTGTCCAGTGGGGAGAGCCAGAAGGGACCCTGTGCTCCCCATGAGGTATGGTAGGTCTATTAGTAGTGTTTCCCACTCAAATGCAGGCAAGAATTCAAACCTCTGCTAGGCACTTGCAGAGTCAGTGTGATTCAGTGTTGGTTCTTCTAGGCCTTAGAGACCTTAAGTCCAAGTTCTCAGGAAAGCCATGGTACCACATGGCTCCAGCTCTTCTCTGGGAGGACGCATCACCCTCTGACACAGGGCTGTGGGGGTCCCACGCTGCTCCTGAAGGGTCATCAAGGCTGTGCCCATAACACGGCTTTGCTTCCTTTGTCCACACTGACAACATGCATGCCCGAGGGGGCCCATGCCACCGCATTTATGGAGGAGCTTTAAAGATGGGTCAGAAGAGATTTTAGTCAGATACACTCACCCACAGCAGGGGCTTATGCTAAGAAGGCTGCACTATTCCAGCAGGCAGCACTAGAGTGGACACCAGACGCCTGTCTCCTTTAGCTGGCTCATCCTGAGATCAGCTCTAAGGGAAGCAGAGCGACAGCACACCGAAAAGCTGCACATCCCACAAGGTCAGCAGCAGAGGCCACCGACCCACAGGGAGCCGGGGCCAATGTTCTAGTTAAATGATTCTACCTGCTGCATCTCAGTCAGTCACTGTGGTCTGCTATACTGCTGAGGGGTGAAGCCTGGCCTACCATCTTGGCCAATCAGCCCTGCAAATGAGAACAGGACTGCCCTCAAGAAGCCCACTGAGGTTCGTATCCAACCCAATATGGCATAACCCTGGGATGAAATCACAGGCCTGAGTAAATGTCCACTGATGGGGTTCATCTTACCTGTGCTGTTTTGAAAGAACCTTCTCCACTTTCCCTGTGAGCACACTCCAGACATAAAGAGAACCCTCGGCTGATCCTGCTGCCACATAACTGCCATCAGGGCTAGAGAAAACAGTAGGACAGCAAAAGCTACAGAGCTTTGATCTCACATGACCACCCTTGTGCGCACAGACGCAGGTCATGTGCTAGCTCTGAGTATGGTGGCCACAGGCGGTCATTTTGCTCTTTCAGCCACCTGGGAGGAGTGTCACAGTGCATCTTGAGATTCCCCACCGCTACCTGCCAGACTCAAGCAACGCAGAGGGGAGCCCAAAGCCAATCTCTGCACAACTTAAGGTTTCTACCCATGAACTTGAATGGTTTAGTGAGTAGGCAGGGGAAACCATGAAATATTGAGACATTAGCTGAGGAGGTGGCCTAATGTGTCAGAGTGTTTGCCACAAGAGGATCCAAGTTTGAATCTCTAAAACCCATGTTTGAAAAAAAAATGTGCGCGCGCATATTTGTACCTATAACCCCCAGCGCTGTTGTGGGATGAGACAGGATTTCTGGGGCTTGCAAGCTGTCAGCCTAGTTCTAGGGTCAGTGAAGACAATGAGTGGTAGAGGAGGACACCAGATGTCCTCTGGTCTCTGCATGTGTGCGTGCAAAGGCAGACACTTTTCCCCATTATGAGAGCCAACCCCAGAACACTCTTGAGAAAAGTGTGGTACATAGAAGGTAGAACGAGGAGAGGGACACTGGGTCACCCAGGAGTGTCACCCCAAACAGACTGTACCATTCCAGGCAGGGAGGTAGCTTTTCCAGTATCCCCTGGCATTGTGCCAAGTCTGGGAAGTGGGCGGGTGAAAGAGAGAACGTGGTAGCTCACTCTGAACCAATCTTCAGCCAACCATACCCATGCTCATAACCACAAGAGGAACACCATTAAAAAAGGAAAAGCAAAACAAATAAACAAAAAAATAGAAGCTGGGCATTGGTGGTGCACGCCAGCACTCGTGAGGCAGAGGCAGGTGGATCTCTGAGAGTTAGAGGCCAGGCTGGTCTACAGAGAGAGGGCCAGGACAGGCTCTTGAAAAACCTAAAAAGATTCCAGCAGGACCACCAGATGCCCCTCAGACTCACTCCTGCAAGCTTTGAGAGGCATTTACTTCCCTTAAAGGAAAAGGTCCAGGTTTAACCTCTGAGATAAACCAAGCAGGGGGTAGGACATGGCTACTAACCTGAAGACAACTCGGGTCCAGTCGGAGCCACATTTGAACCCAGGCGCACTGAAACAAACAGCAGATAGATTAGCTAGCGCCCATGGTGCACTCACCCAGCGGGCAGAAGCAGGCCAGGTCAGGGCCCAGTACCTGAATGTCTGCTTGACAGAATTTGTCCGGAGGTCAATGACTTTCAGCAGGTCATCACGGGAGCAGCTCAGGAGCTCAGTTCTCTCGGGGTTTAAGTCCAGAGCAGTGATCTTCCCCAACAGTTCCATCTCTCGGACCACACTCTCTGATCTAAGGGAGACAGAAGCCTGAGACCTAAGGCAAGTGGGCCACATTCAACTAGACTAGGATGTATGTCATTGAGCAAAAAATACTGCCACCCAGCTAGATCCAACATTCTTCAAGGGCTGTAAGCATGTCCCTAGCCTCACTACTGCTCACAAAACTTTCCCAACAACAACAACAAAAAAGAACCTACTTGAGTACTAGAATTGTGAAACTGGTTAGGAATTTCCTTGCCTGTTTTTAGAATAACAAGGCAATTACCAACCAGAACTCCTGATAAATAAGAGTGAATAATTGCTTTTTCTTTGTTTTGTGGACTAGATCCGAGGCCTTATGTGTCCTACCGATGATCTGCCCCCAAGCCACGAATCGGTACAATTTCAATGTTACTCTTAGGTCTGGGAGCCCACAGGGCCTGTCATGCTCAGGTAGCTTCATTACGACTGCTTGAGACATGGGACTGGATGACCCCAGGGCACAGCTGTCACTTTGTGCATCCTCTGCTGCTGCTTCCCCAATTCTCTTACTCAACCCGCAGAAGTCAGCTAGTACACCACCAGCAGACAAGGCCCAAGGGGAACAACTGGAATGAATGGTTTTGCTGAAGGTTTTCAATGAACTCACTTGATGTCTTAACTGAGTGGAGTTTGTCTTGTTATATATATAGCCCTAGACTTCTACTCCAATTCTTTGGTATGTGGACCATTTTATTGTCAAACTAAGGGATTAGCTAGGAGTCTTAGAACATTCAGTGAAATTGGTTTGGGGAAGGAATTAAAAATACAGCTTGAAGTGGGGTCTAGGAGTCACAAGCTTCACAGTGTCCTTGTGGGTACTCTGCATTTCAAAGTCCATCCAGAGCCATACAATCTTACCCGTTCTCTCCACACTCATGTGCCTCTGTGGCCTCTATTTCAATCCAATTACCAGCCACTGTCTTCCTCAGCAAGCAGCTCAGGGCTTCATTTCACGGGGCCTCTTTTGGTCCAGTGTCCTGACAGATGACCCCCTCCTAACCTTGGCCAGCAACAGGAGTCTCCTTGCATGTCCCCGTCTACGCCCTTCTGCCATGAATTCAGGCCCTCATCAACACTTGCCTTTCAATGCAACCCAACCTCTCTGAAGATGAACAAAAATCACTGAGCAGACTTAGAGTCAGTCATTACTTTTTCCTATTATTACTCTCAGCTCAAACATGCCATCCAAAGTGGTTTATAAAGCCAGAGGACACCTGATTCCCCACTCACCCTACCATCTCATTGGCACATGCCTGTTTCATGTCATTTATACCAGGCTGTTCTAGTTGGGCACACCTTTCAATGGCTCTCTGCCATATAAAGTCTATTTGCTTTTGTAGATTAACTCGCATACTCATCACTGCAGAAAAAGACCTGTCTCCACTATAGCAAAATGTTCACTGCCTTGTGTTCTGTCTTCCCTGTTTCATCTTCATTTGCCTAAAGGTTCTTTGTATAAAGAACAGCACAGCTCAGACGCAGGTGTCAGTCTTGAAGCTCAAGAACACAGCTCCACACAAGCATGCTCACAGCTCTTTATACATAACTCATCAGCCTCCCCACCAAGCTCTTAGGCATCATACCGTATATCCCAGAAACGAATTTTCTTGTCAAAATGTCCACTCATTACACATTGCTCAGTGCAAACAATGTCATTGCAGCTGGATCCTGCAAATACTGTCTTTATGCCTGAAAGAAAACCAAACATCATCAATCAAAGGCAACCATTTGGCTATATACATATATAACATGGCTACACTCTTGACTACTGAGCCCTCCCAAATTATGAACTGAAATGAGACCACACAGACATGACCCCCACTACCCCAGTGTCCTCCAGACTGAAATAAACCTGAGGCCAGACTCACTACACAAAATGCAAGCTCTGATGTGGGCACACCACCTCACTGCTAATATCTATACAAACACAGAGGGGAGGGAGGGAGAGAGGGGGAGAGATAGAGAGAAAGAGACTGAATTTCCTCACAGACTTTGCTGCGTAGATCCCAGAGTTTGAGGGTCCGGTCGTGACTTCCAGAGACTATGCGAGCATTGTCCAGCAGGAACTTGGCAGAGAGCACTTTCCCACTGTGGCCTGTGAGTGTGTGCTAGGAGAGAGGACACAGCAAGGGTGAGCCTTGGGACGGCACACAGCCCTCCCAGGGGAGCTCCAGAGCCAGTCTCAAAATCAAAAGACCCTGAAATCCAGCCACACATCCTCAAAGAAATCACAAGAAAGAGGGGAAGAAATACAGCATATGGAGAACAGCTTCACCTACTCAGCCTCAATCAAAGAAGCTGCAGTGTTTCATCAGAAGTACTTTCAACCAGGCAGTAGCTTTCAGAATCTTCCAGAAACTATTTCTGGTGCTACCTAGAGATGAGGTACTGCTCTGGTTTGACTTTGAGTGACCCCAAGAACTGATGTGCTGAGACTTGGTCTGTATAGAATGTGGCCCAATGGAAAGATAACACATTGAGCTCATGCTCCCCCAAAAGACTGGGTGTCCTTAGACCCTTCCTGCTTTGATCTTTGACTCTCACAAGGCAAACAGGTTCCTCAGATATGCAATATACCCAACTCTAAGTAACCATGGGCTAAACTTCTGAACCTGAACAACATGCTGACATCAAGAGTTTTGTCTTTCACAATAGTGACACAAGGCTGAATAACACAGGGATCAAGACCACAAAGGCAGGCATGGTGCTACATACGTAATCCCAGTACTTGGATTCCTGCAATCTGTAAACTCAAAATCAGCCTGAGCAACACAGCCGGACTTGGGGCTATAGCTCAGTGGTAAAGCACTGTCTAGCACCTATGAGGCTCTAGACCCCCAACACTGGAGGTGGCAGGGATCTCCTACTAAAGATAAACACAAACCACAGTTCAAAATTTCACAAACTCCTTAAATGCTTAAACCTCTTGGTGCCCACTTGTCTAGGGTTGGGATTAATAGGTGTACCACCTAGTATGGCTCAAATTACCAGTGCCACTGAAAGTCAGTTCTATACTTAATGAGAGAACAGGCAGGTCCACTGCAGACATCATTTACAAAAGGAAACATCAGATTCCACATACACAATTAGAAGCCATGGGGCATTTAAAATAAGAAGTCTCAGCTTAAAAGTCAGATCATAGCCAAGGGATACCAGCACTCCCAACAATCAAATCCCTTTGAGACTAAGCTGTTGGATGCCAGCCCGTGTCTTCTCTGGGCTTGTCAGAGAACACAGAATGGAGACATCACTGCATGTCAGCTACTGGTTTTCTCATGCTAGCACCACTACAGTAAGATGAGAAAGAAGCAAGCAGCTGGGGATGTAGGATGCTGGTAGGTGACCTTGGAAGTCAGACCTTATACCATTCATCGTTGACTTCTTTTCAAGGTAATTTTGTCTGTTTTTGGTTTTGTTTTGTTTGTTTCTTTTTTTAGACAAGATCTTACTATGTAGATAAGGCTGCCTTCTGAGTGCTGGGATTAAAGGCATGTGCCAACATGTCTTGCTTTTTATTTTTACTTATTTTTAAAGGTTTACCTTCCTTCCTGCACACCACTGCAGTTTCCAGGTGGTTGAGGCATTGGATCCCATAGAGCTGGTGCTACAAGTAGTTGTAAATGAAACTCTGATCTTTTGCAAGAGCACTTCATCAAAGGGCATTTCATCAGCCCTTTGAGTTTTTTTTTTTTTTTTTTTGGTTTTACGAGTCAGGGTTTCTCTGTATTGTTTTGGAGGCTGTCAGTCCAGCCAGGCCTCGAACTCACAGAGATCTGCCTGCTTCTGCCTCCCAAGTGCTGGGATTAAAGGCGTGCGCCACCACCACCCAGCTTGATTTTTATATATTATTATTAATGTGTGTGAATGCCAAGTGTGAATGCTCTCCTAATGATCAAACTCAGATAATCAGGCTTGTATGGTAAGCATTATATTTACTGAGCTTTCTCTTGGCTTCCCAGGGGGATTAAAGGCATGTGCCATCAACACCCGGCTTTTTAAAATTAAAGACAGGGTCTCACTAAATTCTCACCATGTAACCTTGGCTGTCCTAGAGTTCACTATGTTGACCAGACTGAATTAAAAGTATGTAGTATAGCCACTCCTGACTAGAATAATTTTTTATAAGTATGCCTCCCTCCCCAAAGTTCAAAAGGTTCATTAATGTTTTGTTTCTAATGAAGAAAAGAATGCTTTGGTCCAGCAAGATGGCTTAAATCAGGAGCCACATGGTAGAAGGAAAGAACCTACTCCTCTAAGTTGTCCTCTACCTCCATACAAGTGCCATGGCACATGGACCTCCCTCCCCCACAGAATAAATGCAAATGAATCTTTCCTGCCTCCCTCCCTCCCAGCCTGCCGGGTCTTCTCCATTTAGTCCTGACTGTCTTGAAACTATCATGTAGATCAAGCTGCCCTTAAACACAGATATTTAAAACATTCCTGTCTCTGCATCTGGTGGCTGGGTCTCAGTGCTTCAGTCCAGTGAGCTGGAAACAATCCTGACTCTGAGCTCCATCTTCCAGGCCTCCTTCCCCAGCTGCCTCATCCATACTTCAGGAGGGTGATCCCCACCTATCTATAATTTTTCTTTACCAATCACCCCCTACTTCACATTGCCTCAAATGCCTCCTCTTTTTTCCTCTCAGGGCCCAGTATGAAGAAACCCACAGGCCCCTCTTCCATAGTTGGTCAGCACTGTTACATCTCAGTGTACCATAGGCTTCAATTCAAATTTTTCAAATTACTTAATTCTATGACCTCTCACTCTCTATCTGAACCTGGCTTATCTATTCCCCTCATCTGCGTCCAACACAAAGGAATGCTTTCTCTTTAAGCAAACTAACTCCTTGAAGTATTCATTCAATCCTAAATACCCAATGAAAGACGAACAGAGCTGGGCATAGTGTCATAGCATAACACCGAGGTAGAAGAGTCAGGAGTATTGGTGCAAAGCATAGGCCACCATGGTTTATACGAGTTCCATACCAGTCAAGGTTATGTAGGAAAATTCCAATTCAAAAAATATAAAAGGTGTGTGAAAGTGTCCATGTCCTTGTGCACTGCTGGACCACAACTTCCTGTGCTACCTCTAGGCTCCACAGACACCTGTATTCATGTGCACACCTCCCTCCCCACAACTAGGAATAAAAAGATGAACAGTTACACAAATGTCAGCTGATCACAGGGTGGATCATTGTGCACTCAGCAGCACTGGCTGGGCACCTTTCCTATGTTTAGGATGCAAAGCTGTGGAGCAGCAACTGAAAATGTGTGTAGTGTTTACACAGATATAGCTGCAGCAGCCCCTTGCTGCAGTCCTCCCTTCAGAAAACACAAGGCCAACTCCTGACCACTCACAGCATGCATCTGCCAGCTTTCTGAGCTCATGTTTTACATGATCAGAACTGATTTCTCTTTTAACTGAGAACCATGAATTATTACCCTCAAGGTACTGTATACACAGTTCTTCCAGGAAAATGAAAAGCTAAAGTGGTAAGTTAATCTGCTTTTGAAGGATCTTCTAGCTTTATCACTATAGCATCAATCAGATCACAAAACAACTAATTGTAAAGACCACTCGAATGTAACTGGCTCAAATATTCATTTTAACATCAAGTCATTCTATGTGTGGGGCAACACAAAAGCAACTTGTGTCAAACTTAAAATGCCCCACCAATGCCAAAAGCCTTCTGTGTAATCCTTCAGTAAGATAATGTGAAAATGGGCCGGGCGTTGGTGGCACACGCCTTTAATCCCAGCACTCGGGAGGCAGAGGCAGGTGGATCTCTGTGAGTTCGAGGCCAGGCTGGACAACAGCCTCCAAAACAGAGAAACCCTGTCTCGTAAAACCAAAAAAAAAAAAAAAAAAAAAAAAAAAAGATTATGTGAAAATGTTTTCTCATTAGTTACCTAACTCTCAGAACCACCAAGTTCTGATCGTGGTCAGGATATGGAACTGGGCTCAAATGCACATTTCTTCAAGAGCGGATGTTACCACTCTCCCCTCTTCTGCACCTATCTCTGTATCTCAGCTTCATCATCGGTTTAAGTACATCCACGTATTTCTATCACCCTAACTCCCAACTATGAGGTAACTCTCAGGGTTTAGGACCCTTACAAACCACAATTCATAAGTATGGTGGCACACACCTTTAATCCCAGCACTCAGGAGTCAGAGACAAGTGGATCTCTGAGTTTGAGGCCAGTCTGGTCTACAAAGCTATTTCAAGGATAGTCAGGGCTGTTACTGAGAGAAATCCTGTCTCAGTTCACATGGGGTATCATAATATGACAAGTTAAGCAAAACAGATTATGAAATATACCTGGTTCTTAAGAACACAAGAGAGCTGGGCGTTGGTGGCACACGCCTTTAACCCCAGCACTTGGGAGTCAGAGGCAGGCGGATCTCTGTGAGTTCCAGGTCAGCCTGGTCTACAAAGCGAGTTCCAGGACAGCCTTCAAAACAATACAGAGAAACCCTGTCTCGAAAAATCAAAAAACAAAAACAAACAAACAAACAAACAAAAAAACCAACCACAAGAGTCCTGGAAACGTGAGGGTATGGTAGCAGCAAATATGCTGAAACAAAGACCTTGGACACATTTTCCCAGAGTAAAGCATGAGTTAAATATAATTTCCATGCTGCACAGTAGTGACACACACTTTTAATTACAGCATTAAGGAGGCAGAGGCAGGTGGATCTGAGTTCAGGGCAATCTTGTCTACAGAGTGAATTCCAAGATAGCCTGGGCTACACAGAGAAATCTTATCTCAAAAAAACAAAATATAAATACACACACACAGATTTATAAACACCTGCTAATTTTTTTGTGTTATTTCATACATTGATTGACATATGCAATTAGAAGACTATGTTAGCTTTCTCAAATTGGGTCTTACCCTTAGTCGGTAATCATCCACAGTCCAGATTCGGCTTGCAAAATCATTTGAAGCTGCTAAGAGGTAAGCTCCCTACAAGAATAAAAAGAAACATTTTTTAGTGAAATTCAGTTCACATAGCAGGTCCAAGAAGGAATTCAGATGCACCTCTAAGCTAGACACAACCTATAGAGCCAATGTGCTGGAAACTAACCCCACCAGTCTTTGAAGCTAAGCCCTTCTTCCCTGGATTCATCTGACCTTAACATGATTGCAGTAGACATCTGAAGCTCAAAGTAGAGCTCAGCCTTGCCCACTCGCTTTTCCCTTCACAAATGTCCTTAACAATAAACAGGACTTCCTTATAATATTGAGCAAATCAGAAGGTCTCTTAACTCATCTCCTACCCATCTTTGAGGCTGCCTATCTTCCATGTTAATTTCACCCCTTCCTTTGGAGTTCTGCTGCCTCAGCCCTACTGGGCTTTTGTGGGCCATTTCAGACCTGCCTCTTTAGCATGAATCTGTGTGTGTGTGTATTTATATTATTCAAAACCCCTCAGAACCCGAAATATAGTTCAGTGATAAGGCGCTTGTATAGCATGTTCAAGTACTTGGGTTTGATCCCCAAAATTGCCAAGAACCTCAAGACTCTCAGAATGGCTTTATGGTTATTTAAAAATTTTAACATTACATATATTCTGACCCACACATAACTAACTATTCTTTTTTTGTTTTTTTTTTTTTCCCCTAGAGTTTCTCTGTGGCTTTGGAGGGAGTGCTGGGATTAAAGGTGTGCATCATCAACACCCAGCATAACTATTCTTATTTCCTTATCTTTCCCCAATATCCAGGCACTACTGCTTGAGGCATAAAGATACCTAGTCAATGCCCATCCTTTTAAGATAAGGTTCTCAGCTGAGTAGTGATGGCCCACACCTTTAATCCCAGCTCTTGGGAGGCAGAGGCAGGCAGATTTGAGTTTGAGGTCAGACTGGTCTACAGAGTGAGTTCCAGAACAGCCAGAGCTATACAGAGAAACCCTGTCTCAAAAAACAAACCAAAAACAGAGGAAAACTTTCAGGAGTCAGTTCTCTATTTCCATCACAGGGGTCTCAGGGATCTAATACAAATTATGAGGCTTGGCTGCCAGCGCTTTTACCTAATGAGCCAATTTGCTGGCCTGGCTCTTTGAAAGGGAAATTCCTTGAGAAGACACCACCCTGCCCTTAGGAGCATGCATCTAAGCAAACCAAATCAGTCTATGAAGCAGTCAAAGTGAGAGTCAGCCTCTGATCTACTTCTAACCCTCCCCCCCAGTGTGGACTGGATTCATATGGCAGAGAACAGGAAGTCTTATGGTTCTGGTTTCTTTGGGGGGTTTCTCTGTATAGCTGTCCTGGAACTAGCTCTGTAGACCAGTCTGGCCTCAAGCTCACAAAGACCTCCCTGACTCTGCCTGTCATGTTGTTTTTGCTTTTAATGTCAAGAATCAGGCATCTTAAATTATTATTATTTTTTTAATCTTTCAAATTGACTAAGTATGGTGGTCACACTGGGGAGACAGAGGCAGGCCAGACTGGTCTAAATAATGAGTTCTAGGACAGAGCTATGTAGAGACCTTGACTCAAAAATCAAACAAACAATAGCCTAAAATCATAGGTATTAGGTACTTACAGCACTATCAAATTCAATGCTTGTAATTCCTGCATTACTGCCAGTCAGAGAACCCTTGAATTCACACTTATCTGCATGAAATCAAAAACTCAAAGTTAATAAATGTATTTAAAGGGGGCAGTGGAACCCAGGCAAGTCAATCATGACACTGAACAGGAGTTTTTCCTGTAGGTCTGCAGAATCAGACAAGATAAACAGAAATCAGGGCGTCTGCTGCAGTCTGAGTCCAGAAACAGTGGAGATCCAGCAATGTCACATGCATGTTTCAAGTTGTCGTCTGGGGCACATGCAAGACTTCACATTAGTTCTCAGTGAAATCAACCACCAAATTTTCCTAATTCTTGTTTTGGGAATCTTCATTTCATTATGGTCTGAAAAACTGTTGGACTCTGTAATTCTATCAATTAAGACAGCCACCCATGAATACCTCCTCTTTCCTGGGCACAATCCTCTCTCACCTTCTTCCAGTCCTATTTCCACCTATCTAATCTCAGAGGTGTTTTACTGACCACAGAAAATGAAACTATGCTGCTATTTAGCTAGGTGAGTGCTCTACAGCTGAGCTACATCTACAACACTGCATAATCTTTCTAATGCACATCTGCCAAGATGTATTTTCTATAGTTGAGTTTTATCTTCAAACAACTTCAGTCATTCCATCTGTCTGAACATAAGTCTCTGAGTAAAACAGCACATTCTCATGGCTTCAGCAGACTAGGGGTTTATCTGAGTCACTTTCCTGCTAACCACAATTCAGGGAAGACGGCACAATGCTTCCCAACAATCAAAAGATTCCACAAGCTGCTCTGGCTCACACACAAATCAGAGCAGGAACCCACGTCTTTCTCTCCACTCTAGAACCTAGAGGTCTTCAATGTTAAGAGCATGGGATTTTGACCTCAGTCCTGGAGAAGACACAGCAGGAGAACCATGGGTTCCAGGCTAGCCTACAAATATGATGAGACTATTTCGAAAACAGTGAGAATTAATTTCAAGTCATGTGCTCTAAGTTAGCCCTAACTCTGACTCTACTACTCATGCATTAGACAAATTAAAATGTAATTCAAAACAAAGAAAAAATGTCACTTAGATGTCATCAGAGCTTCCTGCTAAGGACATAATGTGCTCTTACCTCCGAATACTTCCCAAAGTTTAACCCTCCGGTCCATGCCTCCAGTGGCCAGTAACCGGGAGCCTGGGCTGAACTGCACTGCGTTCACTTCCCCATCATGTGCATCCTGCAAGACAGTACCTTGTTTCAAATCATCATCACCCAGGAGCCTAAGACATATATACACTCCAACTGCTAACCCTAGGCCAAATGCTCAGTCTTAAATAGAGCTTGATCCAACTATGAACTGAGTAGACTCTGTGCCCAAAGTCTCTAAAGATCCTAGTTTCATTTTATTCCTAGAGCTGCATGGCATAAATCCATTCATTTAATAGTACTATTTCACCAGGCAAACCTGAACTACAGCTGTAATCCTCTTGCCTTAAACTCCTGAGCTACGTAAGAGTTACAGGAGTTTGCTACCATGTTTGGATTGTAGTCACTTAAAAAGTATTCAAAATCAGCCAGGCATGGTGACACCCACCTCTAATCCCAGCTCCCAGAAGGCAGACAGACACACTGCCAGAAGTTCAAGGCCAGACAGGGATACAACGATGTACTCCCACAAAAAAAAAAAAGCACTCAGAATAATTGTATATTGCCTAAACTTTTGCATTAATTTTATTCCGAAGAATCATAATCTGATTTAATTTTACTAGTTTAAAAGTAAATAGAAAAATGAATGCATGTGTGTGTGTGTGTGTGCCTGTGGGGGGCAGAAGAGGACCACATTTCTTGATGGTGAAGTGACAGGTGGTTATGAGTTGTCTGATTGATGCAGGGGGTTGGGAACCAAATTCAGGTTGTCTAGAAAAGCAGCAAAGCAGACTGAACTGCATCTCTCCAGCCTCAAACTGCATCTTCTGTGCCAGACACTTATTAAATTCACTCTTATTACTAATATTAAATACTATGTACCTTGTGTGTGTGTTTGTGCTCATGTGTGTGGAGGTCTGTCAATGTGCCTTAGTACCTTGAGACAAGACTTCTCACTGAACTAGAAGCTAGGCTGGCAATCAGCAAGACCCTGCAATATTCTGTTCTCCACCCTTTGGTACTGGGGTTACAGGCACAAAGACATTCAGTTTTTCAAATGGACATGAACACAGGTCCTCATAGAATGTAGCAAGTGTTCTCACCCATAAAGCCATCAACGCAGCCCCAAGAAAAGTTTTCTTGGCCAGTCCTAATACTGTGAGCCTGTGTAATCACTCTGGAAACATGGCACTAGTATGCATTAACAGTGTGATGTTCATCAAGTGTTTAACTTCCGATAGCTTCAGTATTTTTTTAACCAGAAATGTTTTTATGACCCAATCTGTGTTTGAAAAATGAATAAATGATTAATTTAAGTTCTATTTTGGAAGAATTGTAAGTTTTTCATAGGGAAATTCCTTTACGGATCAGGCTGACCGTTAACTCTGCCTCTCCTTCCCAAGTGCTGGGATTAAAAGTGTAAGCCACTGTGCCTGGTCTTTTCACGGAGGAATTTCTAAAATTAGTACAGATGAGCATTCACGTTTAAAGTAAGAGGAAAAGCATCCACATAAAAGGGGAAGAATAAGAGGCAGTGTTGTGCTCTCTCTCTCTCTCTCTCTCTCTCTCTCTCTCTCTCTCTCTCTCTCTCTATATATATATATATATATATATATATATAGACAGACAGTGGACACAGACCTACTTACAGACAAAGTCAATGCACTAGCATCTCCCTAACTGACCGGCGATGTGACAGTCCCCTTTCCCTCATGTCCATCTGGGGGAGGTCCAGATGGACTTCTCACCTCATGCAGCTCTCCTTTGTTCCCGAGGTCTCAGATTGAAAACTTGAGATCATGCACTGTCACACTCACCCTGCCACTCCTTATGACTCCTGTGTAATGGTTCTGTTGGACAGCAGCCAGCTGTGAACCACTCTCTCGGAACACACACTGACAGAGTCCTCCACTGTCAGCTGCCCCACTTTCCCACACACGACTTCAATGTGCTAGGAAAAAAGCGGGCTGCTGGGAGCGGAGGGCAAGGAAGAAGTTGTGACATTTAGCGCGATCAGACCTTTTACCAATCATCATTGACCTCAGTAAGGAACTCAGCCCTATATGGAATCACAGGAGTTGGTGGGTGTCCTGCCCAACTCCTCCTCCAAGGCAGGGCTCATCCTCAACCCTGAGGCGCAGTCAGCTCACTGAATGGCAATGCCTGACTACCAATGAAGCTCTTCTGAACGTCCTAAACTGAAGCCCCACCGCCCAGGGGCCATTCCATTTCCAGGCACTAACTACTGCGGGCTGCTAGAGCCACATGTCCCTCTCAATTCCCCAACCCCACCTGGCCAACTCCAGGGCACTGCAAGTCACAGGCCTCTCTGCCTCCCCACTGTTCTGAAAGGTTTGAGCAAGGGAGACCACATTTCCGCTGTATGCCCGAGCTGGGACTAAGGCGAACTGTTACTGCCAGAACCCCAACATAGAACCCTAGGTACTGCTGTGGTTTCTGTCCAGTGCTGTAGCCTGGTTCCAATACCAGGCCCTTGGTGGCTGGTCCACCCTGCCCTGCTGGACTTTATTATTTTTTAATTTTGTGAGAATGCATAGGTGTTTTGTCTGCATGAATGTTTGTGCACCAGAAGAGAGCACTGGATCCCCTGTAGTTTAGGTTAGACAGCTGTAAGCTGCTATGTGGGTGCTAGAATTCAAACTCAAGTCCCCTGGAACAGTAGCTAGTTTTCTTAACCACAGAATCTTCTCTAGCTCCCACTTTTTTTTGGAGACAGGGTTTCTCTGTATAGCTTTGGAGCCTGCCCTGGTGCTAGCACTGTAGACCAGGATGGCTTCAAACTCAGAGATCCGTCTGCCTCTGCCTCCCGAGTGCTGAGATTAAAGGCGTGCGCCACCACCGCCTGGCATAGCTCTCCACTTTTTATCCTGAGTCATCTCTCTAGTGACTCTGACAGACACAAGCCTCCATCAGGAATTTCACCTTAAGCAGCAGCTAACTGGTAAAAACAACTGCACTTAAATACACTGGCTTCTCGCCATCCCTAGTTCCTCTTGTCCCATTGCTCAAGCCACCAATCCTCTCAGCCAGCCCTGGAATACAAAGGATAGCTTTAACAAATTCTGTGCGAAGCTAAGCACAACATACCTTAATTCCCCATAGGGCACAAAATCAGCAGGTCTAAATAAGTAAAAAATGGAAGGCCTAGATACAGGCCCAAAGGACCCTTTAGTTCCAGATCCTGCTACTATCCCAGGCTCAGAGAGGTCTGGGTAAAGAGCATACTTACGAAAACATACAAGGCAGTAGTTGGGACTCTCACATCTTTACCAGAAGCAGGATGAGTGTCCACATTGTCCTGAGGGACTGGGATGGAAGAGACAGAGCGTCTCCTAAGGAACAACACAAATGCAGACATTATAGAGGACCGTTTGGGATTAGAGTCCACCAAACTGCTAGACAAGCCTCAAGAACAAGCTTGCTTGAACAGTGTGCCTATGTTAATAGCTGTTGTCTTTTTAGACCCTCCAAAGTCCAGAATTCATACTATCTCACTCAAATGACGGGAGTTAGCACACACCTTACTTTTCTGTTTGCTAATCATGGGCTCCAAAATCCAGCATTGACTGAATCCTGAACAAAAATTGCTTACCCTGTCAGTAAACTTCGGGGAAACGTTCTCAACCTAACACACCAGCCAGCTTAGAGGCAAACCTCTGGCACGTTGGAGCACTATTTTGAGCTGATTTCCATGCCTAGTGCAACAAGTCTCAGCTTTTATTATTGTGGTCAAGACAAGAGTCAGATGCGTGCTAAGAGGAAGGGCATCAAGAGCATGATGACGGCACAGCGCTCAACCTCACTGCCCAGCTCAAGGGCTCCAGCATTCATTCCTAGGAGCATGCAAAGCGCCCTGGTTAGCGTGTAGACATCGATGATTGCGGGCAGCACAGTGTGATCAGCACAATTATCAATAACCCACACTCACATGCTGGGCTGAGAAAGGGTAATATTTTCACCTGGCAGCATCAGAAGAATGGTGTCCCAAAAGGGGAGATTCGGACAGACTAAAGGGAAAGGCCATAGATCAGCTCACAGCAAGATAAAGAGAAGGGAAGTTGCAGAAAAGAGAAAGAAGCTAAATGACAAGCTGAATTAAGGCATCCATGTTTTTAGCACTGCTGAAGTTCTGCTGTACATTAAAAATAATGCATCACATACATATGCTTAGGTATATTCACACATTTTTAAAAGGAAAGGTGAAGGTCTTCTAACCTACCCAAAGATATTAGTGATAGAATCCAGAAGGCCTCCAGCAGGCTGCGAGAGTCGCTTACTAAAGAGGAGGGGAGGATAGGTTTAAACCTTAGAAACATTTTGCCCCCAAATCAAAACAGCCCCTAAAAACAAGTACCCGGGAATACAGTTTCCATTCCCAAACCCCAGCCAAGACAAACTCAACCAACACAGCATTTGAACCATCAGGAAATAGTAAGAAGGCAGAAGGGAAAACCCAGCCTATAGTCTTAAAAGAAACAAGGATCCCTAAGAAATTCCCTGACAGGGGATCTGTCTAACTCACCAAGAACTTTCGGGTGTTAATAACAAATTTCCATCCATTCTTTCAGCCCTACTTTAACAAATTAAAAAAAGAAAAACCCTACAATATATATCCTTGTGTCCTAGGGTCTGAATGTTCATGGTGCATAATAAAGTTTAACAGTTCACCCATCTTCCAGGCGGCTGCTGCATCTGTTTGTGTTAGAAATGCCAGGCCACCTGTACTCTGTCTCCCTCCCACTCTCTCTCTGTGGGGTGGAAGAGGCTTGGGGTCTCTAGGTACATCTGACTAGGTTCTCCGGTCATTTCCACAAATGGGCAGTCACCCTGATGCTGCAGCTCGCCTTTTCCCCACCCAGCCGGGCCACTCACGTAGCTGCTCTGCTGACGGCTCGCACAGGAGAGACCTCTTCAGTGTGATCTGAAGTCTCATCCACAATGACTTCAATGTCATCATCCCTGGAAAGAAATGAAAGTGAATCTGTTGTTGTCCTCAACAGGAGCTGCAAAGGCCAGTACCACATTCTAGAGATGGACTCCTTAAGACCTGGCTGCAAAGTGATGAAAAGGAGAAAGGGGAACTGTATCATGTTTGAGAAGCAAATCATTTTACCTATTCAAAACCAGTAGTGACAGTCAAAAATAATTTTCCAAAAGCAAAACTTAAACACACATGTTTCTAATGGCCAGAGGGTCTGCACATTTCCTGTGAAATCATCTGGTTTCAGAACATGTTCTTTTGTTGTTTATGCCAATGGATGTCAGGCACCTCTGGTATTTCTCTTTCTGATTCTGACAGTCTTTCCTGATTGTGGGGAAGGCAAGAAATTATTTAGGCCTTAATGATCTATTGTGTTGCAATCTTCATGGGAAAAAAATACCTTAAAAAAATTAAGAGTTGCCAGGCGTTGGTGGCGCACGCCTTTAATCCCAGCACTCGGGAGGCAGAGGCAGGCGGATCTCTGTGAGTTCGAGACCAGCCTGGACTACCAAGCGAGTTCCAGGACAGCCTCCAAAGCCACAGAGAAACCCTGTCTCGAAAAAAAAAAACCAAAAAAAAAAAAAAATTTTAAGAGTTTATCACCTACTATTTGGATTCTGAAGAATTTGAAAACAAGATTTTTTTCTTCCTATGATCATCTAGATTACGAGCATATGCACTTAAGAACCTGTTACACTAGGCAAGTCAAACCATAGCTAAGTAAATTTATTTTCCCTTGTTTACTCTGGGGTAACACGTCACTGTCTCACACTCTTGGCTGGAGGATAAAGAGAACAAGGCTATGCCTGATTTCCTACTTGGCTGGCCTTCCCAGATGTAGCGTTTAAGAGAGTCATAGGAGAAAGATAACAAGAGGAATAATACGAACTGAGCCTACAGTGAATCTCTGGGACAGAGTCTCATGGTTCTAAAGTGTACCTGGTAGTATACGTAAGCCCAGTCCCAGAAAATACCAGGTCTTTCCTCCGCATCTGGAAATGTACATTTCTCTGACCCAGACTATTACATTCCTGAGGAATAGACAGACTTGGAAAACATAGCAAGCTCTCTCAGGTTTGCAATTTAGCACAAGCCTTCCATGTGGGATCCTGGATCCTTCTTAATCATGTCACCTGGTTACACAGGCAAACAGGAGACAGACACATGACAAATCCTTTTTCTTTTTAAAGGAATGAAATCTCTTTTAGGCCACCTACTTATTTACTTTGTGGGTTTGAAAAAAATACATTGAGGATAGGAGACACAAGCATTCATAGTCTCCCAGAGCAAAAGCTTAGCCTGAGAATTCTCCTTTCCTCTAAGGAAAAATGTATAGGCTTGAGAAAATGTATAGGCTTAAGTTTAAACCACTCCTCTCCACTTAAAAATGTACTCATGTGTGAGTGTTTGGCATGTGTGTGTGTGTGTGTGTGTGTGTGTGTGTGTGTGTGTGTGTGTGTGTGTATGTCATGCTGGGTACTGGGGAGGTCAGAGGGCATTGGTTCCCCTAGAACTGGAGATACAGATGGCTGTGAGCCACTATGTGGGTGCTGGGAACTGAACCAGGTCCTATGCGAGAGCAACCAGTGATTTAAACTGCTGAGCATCTCTCAGTCTCAGGAGTCAGTACAAATTAAAGTAACAGCAAGTCATAATTCTGAAGCTAATACACCCAGAGCACAGAGGGTTGTTACTGAAATACCCACCACTTACACAGGGCTTCCAATACCAGGCACTTCACCTTCATTAGTAGGTGGCTAGGGAGAGCTGGTTTGATTTCAGTTCTTTTTGCAAAGAGATCTCTGACCTCACTTATGTCTCAAAAGTTGGAAAAACTGCCGGGTGGTGGTGGCGCAAGCCTTTAATCCCAGCACTCGGGAGGCCGAGGCAGGCGGATCTCTGTGAGTTCGAGGCCGGGCTGGACCGATAGCCTCCGAAACAATACAGAGAAACCCTGTCTCGTAAAAAAAAAAAAAAAAAAAAAAAAAAGTTGGAAAAACTTCCACTAAGGTCACAGACCAAGATAGTAAGAAACTGAAACCACAGCCCAGATTACATGACAACAGGTCTAGTTAGAGGAAGGCCAGTGATCCAGTTGACTACAGGAACCAGTAAGGTGACTCTGTGGGCAGGAGTTAATCAGAATCAACTGATCACTATCAACAACAATAAAATAAAAATTCTTGGAAAGTAATTAGGTGATAAATGCGAAAGTCTTAAGTCAACACAATATTACTTTCAAAATTTCAACCCAAGTAACCTATCTGAAATATGGACAAAGGCCATTTTCAGTACATTATTTCTAAGTGCAATGGGATGCCACCGTCGTAAAAGTAACAGAAATGGTTGTACACATCCTACTGTTCCAGTAGTGGTAGAATAACGTGGTCTTACTTTCTGCCTTTAATTCTTTAACTTTGGATTGTAGCCTCTCTGTAATAAAACTTTTTAAACTTTTAAGAGTGTAGTTAAACTGGCTTCTCTGAACTTACTGTTCAACAGGCAGAGGTTCCTTTGCTGCCTCTGCAAGCTCCTTCTGCAGCCGTGCTTGACGCCTCCTGTTTGCAAAAATAAAAATGAACAAACCAAACGTAAATGTATGCCTACTTTTTTGTTTGTTTTGTTTTACTCTCAGCTGGACGGTGGTGGCGCACGCCTTTAATCCCAGCACTCAGGAGGCAGAGGCACATGAATCTCTGTGAGTTTGAGACCAGCCTGGTCTACAAGAGCTAGTTCCAGGACACCCTCCAAAGTCGCAAAGAAACCCTGTCTCGACCGTTCTCCCTGCCAAAAGACCCCAAAACAAAACAAAAGTTTCACTCTCAAAAAACTTCTAGTTTTGAAAGCATATTTGAATATTCAATGCAGGACTGGAAAGATGGCTCAGTGGTTAGGAGTGTTCACTGCCACAGGCATGAAGACCTGAATTCCTATAGGCTCCATGCCTATAAACCCCAGTGGGAGTGTAGACAGGAGGATCATTGGGACCTGTGCTCAGTGCCAGCCTAACTTCAGGTTCAGTGAGCAAGTCTATTTCAAAGGAATAAGGCAGAGTCACAGAGCACAACACCTAACAGCCTCCTTGAGCATGCCTTCTGCCCCTCAGCACACAAAAAGATGTTTAAGGCATTTCAAATAACAGCTAGTATGGCCAAAGACACCCAAATACTGATGAGAATCCCACCGTAAAAAGGTTCCAGGGGCCGGGCGGTGGTGGCGCACGCCTTTAATCCCAGCACTCGGGAGGCAGAGGCAGGCGGATCTCTGTGAGTTCGAGGCCGGGCTGGACCGATAGCCTCCAAAACAATACAGAGAAACCCTGTCTCGCAAAAACCAAAAAAAAAAAAAAAAAAAAAAAAAAACACCCAAAAAAGGTTCCAGGGCCAGTGATGCTACCAAGTCTGACAACCTGCGTCAGATCTCTAGTGGGAGCCACCTGTGGCAAGTGTATTCTAACACACACAAAAGAAAACCAGCCTGCAGGGACCCATGGCTGCCTAGGACAAAAAGGTACTTCATGACATCACAGCTAGTTATGGTTATGACTTTGCTTCCTATAGTAAACTATCTACTAACCCAGCAACAAAACTAAGAAGAAACTCGGGGGGCAGAAGCAGGCGGATCTATGTGAGTTCTATTCTATTCTAGGCCAGCCTGGTCTACAAAGCTACACAGAGAAAAACCAAGTAAAATACAATAAAATTCACTGTCTGTGTGCTTATGCCACAACTTAATTTAAGGACCTAATTTTTTTCACTATGAATAACATGTCACCCTGACCAACCATTTGTGAACAAGTTTTCTTACTTCCCTGGGATAACTGGGGAAAGCTGTCAGATTCCCGCTGGTCTAAAGCAGTCCTCCTACTGATGGTGCCCTGTGCTTCCAGAATATACTAGCCTAACAAACCTTTCTGTTACCTTTACTGACCATAGCCACTGCTGCTTGTCATACCCATCTCTTCCTAATGACTGCATTAAGAATATTTTAGCTTGAAAGCACATTCCTGGTCCAGGGAATAAAAGTGATTGATGTGTAAGCCTGATGATCTGAGTTTGATTTCCTGAAATCCACACAAAGGGGAGAACTGATTCTACAAAGGTGCCCTCCAACTTCCACATGTGCACTACAGGGCATGCTTTCCCTTCCCTACCTTGTGTGGGCACATACACAAGAACACATAGAGTACTGAAATAAAAAGCATTTCTTAATTTACTGTTCTCTGATATTAAGAAATTTAACACTTTTACCATCATTCCTTATTTATTATATTTGATTTTCTGACTGCAAAGTTCCCTAATATTTCTATTTAGGAACTCGTCATAAAATGATCAGCACTCTCACCGTTTTCTAACTTAACCTTTAAACTTTACTTTTCCACTAACGTGAGCACGAAACATGGTAAGACATGCACTATTAGTCCTTAGGACTCATTTCTAACACCACTGTAGATAAACTAAAATTCTTTTCAAACCGATAGGGATTTTTCCAGATGATGTTTTAAAGTGTAGTCTTGTTGTCTGAATGGGATTATGTGTGGTAACAGTGGACCTTGACCATGAACACACCGTTGGCACCCGTGTGCACTCATGCGTTCTAAATTACTTCATGTCTTGTCACACAGATGCAAGTTCCTAATATGAAGGATGGGAGGCTTCCCTACTGAAACACAGGATACTGGTCAGACAGGTGTTCTTTTCAAGTTTTGCTATTGTTGTTCTGGATTTATGGGGTTTAATCAGGATGACTTAGTAGGACAGTACTTACTGGATGTTTATAAAATTCCTTATTCAAAGTGCTATAACTGGGACCCTAATGACCCACTTTTAATTCCTGGCAGAAACCCTTCCCAGACTTCACTGTATTAAAAAAATATTAGCAATAAATTTGGCTTAGGAATCTCACTTTTATATTCCTGAGATTAAACTATAGTTTTCTTACATACTAGCAGAATCAGAATTTTTGTATATGTCTGAATTGCTTCATGAAATGGGGAGACAGCAAGGAGACATGCCAAGGATGCGCCACTTGCCACCTAAACAGTGTTCCGAACAGTGCGTACCCCGCTCAGCTGCAAAGGGCCTCGCAGATGCACATTTCTCTGGCTCTGCACTTCTAATCTGGCCAGTGTTTTCTTCTCCTCCATTACCACATCAACTGTCAGGCATGTTTTTCTTTGCAAAGAACCAGGCTCTGCTCCACTAAGCTCAGACAACACTAACTGCAGCTAAACATCCTACCTAGAGTCCTTCTCATTTTCGGCATTGAGGCGATTGGCTTCCTGGGCCTTCTCAGCCATCCATCTGGTGACCAGCTCTTGGTTCTCCTCAGTAGTTTTCCTTAGTTTCTCCTCCAGAGCAGTAAAAGTAATCTGCAGGGCATCATACTCATCCTTCAGAGTCTGGTTAGCTAGCTCCAGGTCCTGCAGTTTGGTACGCAGGTCCAGGCACTCTGTCTCCAGGTTAGAGATGGTCTGTAAACACTCTGCAATTCTGAAAGTACAATTCGAGAGGAGCATTCCCTCATCAGAGCCCTGTACCACAGCCAGAGCATCTGGCCAAGTACCATCTAGATGGGCTTGAGCAAGCAGCAGCAAGAACACTGGCCACCATACCTGGCCTATTCAGCTCACCAGACACCCAAGATGAAGTTCCTACTGACCACGAATGGCCAGTAACGGTAGCTTTCAGGAAAACAGGACCTGAGAGAGGGGGAAGCTCTAGGCACTTCCCAAGTGGCAAAAGGTCTTGTAAGGAGCTCTCCACAACTCTAAAGGCATAAGGTCTGAGTCTGTTTCCCGTCTGCCAGAGTTCTTGCTAGTTAACAATCTTCCTGCTCACAAATGTACCTTCCACCATCCTAACAGACACGTGCTTGGATACTGCGGCCCCACCTCTAGTGGAAGACACCAGTGACCGCTCACAGTGGCCATGGAGAACTGAGAATGCCTCCAGAACATTCACTTGCAAAGGCCACCATTACTTCCTTACGCAGATATCCAGCACAGAAGCTCAAGGACACTGCCCTTGCTTCACTCAGAAAAGAACTCCAGATTGCAAGCAATGCAACAAAATTCTTGCTGAGAGGGGTGTGACTACTGCTTGCTACCAGCCCTGCTCACAGTAGTGCAGCAAAACCAATGTGTAAGCCAACAGTCGGACCCCCAGGAGACACAGTCTCTACTTACTTTGCTTCATTCATCTGCATCTCCCTGTCCTTCTGCTGCATTTGGTTATTCAGGTCAATCACCAACTGAGCTAACTGGGAGACAAAAGACTCTCATAAATAAGAGACCGTTGAATCTCAACCACAAGCTACACAGTGGGTTACTATTTCCTTATTTTTAAGAAAGAAGAAGTGGAGATGGTTGCAAGGCAGGCAGAAGGGGCTTTGGGGCTGTCTGCTGCCTCTTACAATCTTGGCCGGGACGTTTGTGCAGAGGATACCCTCCACCTTGTGACTGACTCAGTTGAACACAGTAAAGGTATTTTCTCATCCAGATGTGTCTTATGTAAGACCAAGAAGTCCGTAAGGCATTCAGCCTCAGGGACTGATACACTCAGAAAGATCTTAAGGGGATCACACAGCAAACCTTTTACTCTTGAAGACTTTCCCACCATTTCTCCTAAGCTGCTGTTAGAGCAGTGGTCTGGCTTTGGCTCACCTTCTGCTTCTAGACCTCATGTTGATTGATGATTTTCTTTGCTGTATCCTGTCCCATGCCCCCCACCTTCCACCCTGCCTCATGGAGAGTTTGTGATGTCAGATTAGAAAGTGCCTGCTTTCCTGCCTTTACCAAGGTCCTGGAAAGAGCAGAAGGGCTTTCTTTACCTCCCCGCGTTTCTTGTGCAGCTCTGTCAGCTCTTCCTGGTGTTTCATCTTCAACTGGGCCATTTCTTGTATCTGACTATCATTCCACGCACCATCGTGTCCAGGACTAAAAATCACCACCAGCCACATGAAGGCAACATGCAAAAATGGAGAGTAAAATAAAATATCATACTTCAGATCTTTCCCACTAGGTAATGGGGTACTAACTCAAGAATTTAAACCTGTCAATCTACCAGACCATTTTGGCATCTGAAATAGTGGCAAATCTTGAGCCTCTATGGGTATAAAGCAGGAGACTGATGATGGTAAACCAAACACAACCAGAGCAAACAGTCAAATCAGGGGCAAAGGCTGGGCTTCTGAATTAAGTGTAGGTGAACAGCAAACACACCCACTCATTCCCCAAAATCTGCATTCCAGCCCTGGGCCAGGTACTGCTGGTTCTGACGAGAAAGGCAGAGGGGGTACAGAGGTCTGTCCTCAGGCATCTGAGGATCAATAAAAAGCAGACGGGCAAAAACAAGTAAATGTGTGACGTTACATGCTACAAAGGAAGTACAAACCAGGGAAGGAAATCCTACTTTGTTTAGCCTAAGGAAGCAGGGTTTCTCTAAGGTGACCAGAAAGAAATGAAGGGCCAGCCATGCGCTCACCCCTACCCTCAGGATCCCCTGAGTAGAGAGGGGAGCAAACTACAGACCTGGGAGACAGTGAAGAGCAACAAGAACCAAGACTCAGTAAGTAAGATGATGCCGAACCTTCCTTCCCCTCCCCTGCTGAGGGATTTTACCAGTCTGGGGTGGGGAGGAGGTGCTGGAACAGGAGCACAAACAGTGAGACCAATTAGCAGACACTGAATAACCCTTCTGGACCAAGTAGCTCAGACCACGGGGTGCCAGTGGAGACGAGAGTCTAGGCCCATTCTGAAGGGTGCCTACAGTACTTGGATGGGCCAGAACAAAAGACTGACAGGAGTAAGATGACCCAGGGCTTTGGGCCTGAGCAGCCTGCAAGCCAGGTATCATGAATTAATTGTATGGCCAGCCTGGGGAAGAACAGGTCTAGGTGAGGACAGGATTCTGTTATGGATATCCACACTGAAGGCGCACAAAGGTAAGGTCAGCACACAGATGTGCACCATGCTACAGGAGTACAGGCCACCCCAACAGTGTGTGTCTTGGGAACTTTGTCAGATATTTGACAATATCCGAGAAACAACACTATGATGAAAAAACAGTGACAGGCACTAAATTACAAAGGCACAAGGGTGGAGGGGCAGAAATCAAGGAAGTTAATCAGTTAACAGCTGTGGGCAAAACAAACTATGTGGAAACCCAGACTTAAATCCTATCACAACAGATCTCCAAGGCCACCAAACGCTGTTCAGAGAAATGTCTGGACTCCAACCCAAACAGATCCAAAAGAAACCATTTTTCCTCAAGGAACTCCTACCAGTCCCAAAGATCTCTTCTCCAAAGCTCAAGGGAAAACAAACAAAACTGCCAATAGCTCCGATCAGGGGTGGTGGCTATACACTTTTATCAAGGGCTACCTAGCTCTGCTCCCAGTATTCAAAGGACCAGTGTCCCAGCTTCTGGCTCTTTATTTTTTTGGTCAGAATCTGCACTGGACGAATAAACACGTTTATTCCAGAGATTCTGCAAAACTCTGGTTAACAACTGAAGATTTATGGTTCAAGGGGAGGGGCTTGGCAAGAGCTACAGATGTGCTTATTAGCAGGTGATGTGAACTGGGAAAAGTGATGGGAAAAAAGGAAGGAGGCTGGACAGTGACTGGAACATCCATACTTACAGGGAGAGAGAACAGTGTTCTCTTTATTATTTAGGCTACAGTGGGAAGGGGGGAGGGGTGATGACAAAGAGCAGCACAGGAAGCTGGGCGTGGTGGTGTGAGCCTTTAGTCCCAGCGGAGGCAGTAGGATCTGAGTTCCAGGCCAGCCTGGTCTACACAATGAGTTTCAGGACAGTCAGGACTAAAAAGAGAAGCCCTGTTTTGGAACAGCATGGTAACACCCCGCAATTCAAACCTCTACCTATACTTGGATTTTTATCATCTATGTAAGCATAACTATTCACTCATCTCACCCTTTAGGCAAATGGATACTTCTTAGCCCAAGAAGTAGACAGCAGCAGCCAAAAAGTAGAATAACCCATATAAAACCATTTATAATGACTTTGGGTGATTAGAAAGTATTTCACCAAATTTCTCTCTAAATGCAAAGCAGCAGGGATTATGCAAAGCATCAAACACACTCCTTTTAACCTATAAACCGGCATTCAAAAGAAATGCTCCTGAGGGCTGGAGAGATGGCTCAGAGGTTAAGAGCACTGACTGCTCTACCAGGGGTCCTGAGTTTGATTCCCAGCAACCACACGGTGGCTCACGACCATCTACAATTCAATCTGGTGCCCTCTTCTGGTATGTAAGTAGAATAGTGTATATGTAATAAATAAATAAATCTTAAAAAAAAAAAAAAGAAAAGAAAAAGAAATGCTTCTGACATCACAGCAGTAAGAAAATTAAGTCATTCCTCACACAAAGCTGGGAAGGGTTCCTAGAGTAACAGGGAGGACTTCCTAGGATGGCTAACTGCAGACAAGGCTGAGGGGAACTTTCCATACGGATAGACGCAGCTCCCATCAGAGCTGCTAAGAACAAGGCAAGAAGGGACAGGTCACTCCCCTGCTCTGGGACCAGTGACTTCCTCCTACTCACAACAAAACAAAGGGACTGGATGCCTTCTGTGAACACTCAGCACACTTCCAAGCAGACACCCCTTTGGCTGGTCTCTGGCTTAGTTTCTGTTCCCACAAAGTGGATTCCTAACTCTCACCTTTGCAAGCCCAATGCCTAGACACACTAGTCACAAATCTAAGGTAAGAGACTCTAGCTACAGTTCAGGAATGAAAAGTGGTAGCAAAATAAATGTAAACCAATGGACAGAATCACAAGCCTGAGATAAAGAGCCTGGCTGACAGAGGAGATATGGTAGGAAGGGATATGTAGGGAAAAAGGAACCCAGGCAACTTGGGGAGGACACCATTAAGGGAATAAGGCAATCAAGAGGACTGGCTCATTACGGATGTTTGTGGGAAAAGACAGACTTCCAGTAAAACAATCATACTAGTAAAATTCTCACAAAGAACTGTCTGACCAGAGTTAGAACACCCTCCTAAAAACATCAGCTTGTTGATGATACAAGACTACAGTCACTCTGCTGATTGTTTTCATTGATGTGACCCAAGCTAGGGCCATACAAGAAGAAGAATCCTCAACTGTAGCCTGTAGGCAGGTCTATGGGGCATTTTCTTGGTTACTGATTCATGTGTGAGGACCCAGCCCACCAGGAGTAGTGTCAACCCTAGGCAAGTGTCCTGGCGTATCTGAAAACAAGCTGAGGAGCCACTGGGAGCAGGGATCCTCTGTGGCTTCTGCTGCAGCTGCCACATCCAGGTTCCTACCCTGCCTGAGTATCTATGGCAGTTTCCCTCAATGATGGGCTGTGACTGTGATATATAAACCCAATAACCCTCCCCTCCAAGTTACTTTTGATCATGGTCTTTATGACAGAAATAGAACCCTAATTAGGACAGTCACCAAGAGCTCACCAGACAAGTCACACACCTTTGATCCTAGCCTTCAGAAGGCAGAGGCAGGCAGATATGAGTTTTAGACCAGCCTGGTCTACAGACTGAGTTCCAGAAGATCGAGGGCTAACAGAGAAACCCTGTCTCAAAACTGAAGTGCTTACTCAGACAGAAATACAATCTTTTAACCAAATGAATTTAGATGAACAAGAAGGTAAAACCACATTTCCTGTAATTAACCAGATCATTGTAACTAACATCTTAAACACTACAGAAGCCTCTTCAGGTCACACATGCAGATCTCCTGAACTGTGACTAAGTGAAAGACAGAAAGTAAGTTGGGCAGAGTCACCTATTTTTATGATTTTTTCCTACCCTGTCACTTCCCAGGAAACCATCTTGCCAGATGGACAGAAGGCTACGGGGAAGATGCATTTACAGGCAGAAGTAAATGGCAGGCCACACCCATCATTTCTGTTTTGTTTTTAACAATTGCTAGGTGTCAACACGCAAAAAGACTGTAGATTTTAGATTAATAATGGGTACCATTCCCATATCAGCCATCAACTGCACATACGTCTTAGACACTATGGAGAAGACAGAAGGACTCTGAACCCCATCTGCACTAGAGTGTGGCTTTTCATTAAAGTCTAGTAAGCAATCAAACATCCCACATGAACATATACTTTTCCAATCAAGTTCTCAAAAGAAAAACCTGCTGCAAGATTTCACAAGCTAAAGCTGAAAACACTAGGCTAAAAAGGATCAAACAGACCAGCACTATAATAAAAAGCAATCTGTGTTTATTTGTCAGTTAATCCTGTTTTAACAAAGCCCTGGAAGACTACTCAGGAACCCAGTTGTTTCTGATCATCCAACTTTTTTTTAAAGGCTGGATCACATTATATTACTAGCCTTTCGCCTCTGCCTCCCGAGTGCTGGAATTACAGGTTTGCAACACCAGACGTAGCCCTTGTTTCTGATTACTCAAAAAGAGAACTCAGTGGGTCAGAAGTGAGACTGAAATAGGTACCCTGTGAACAGGCCTTGAGAAGTTTCTCAACCTGATAAAACCATACTGGTAAGGCTTCTAGGGGTGTGTGTGCATATCTCCTGAACAATCGCTTTAGTTACTTGACTTTAGGAGCTTTTATTTGAAGGGAATTGAGAAAAATTAGGTTAGAAAAACAAGTGTTTGCTTTAGAAAGTGCTCACTGAGCAGGGCATGCTAGTGCACCCCTGTAATCCCAGCAACTGGAAGGCAGAAGAAGGATGGCTACAAGCACTAGACTAGCCTGGGCTATCGTGTTGGGCTTTCCTCAACAACACATACATACATACACATACACACACACACACACACATGCAAGCAAGCATGAGAGAGAACAGTAAGACAAGCTTAAGATGTACAAGTTTGTTTCTGAATACCTTATCTCGTGTCTGTTTGGTATGTCATGCTTTTCAGCTTGTAGCTTCTGGGCCAATACTGAATGAAGATCTGACTTTTCCAGCAACTTGGTATCTATATACATAAAAAGAAAAAAGCTATTATTGCACCATGCATATAACTTACAAAGCTTGGGACCAAAAAAGCACTAGATACTCCAGGCATTGTCATCATTATTAGGTGGCAACAAACTATGTTTGCAGTAGGCTTGGTCACATGTAGCAATCTAGGAACTCAATTCCTCAGGTGCTTCTTGGTCTAAGTTTGTGAAGTCCAACTACAGACATCCATGGACACACATATGTAAGAATGACACCTACAGACAACTAAAATTGCATTCTACCTCCAAGGTTATTGTTTTCCACCTCACGCATCACAGCAAAATGAAATGATAGGTGTTTAAACTTACTGTATTGATGAATTTAAATACTCTTTAGATCAGAGTACTGGGAAAAACAGAAAGTCTAATGGGCTGGAAAGAAAGATTAGAGCCCAACACAGGAAAAAGAAGGATAAAATATTAAGACTTTATTTTTTTACTTGCTGGTTTTTTTTTGAGACAGGGTTTTCCTAAGTAGCCCTGGCTGTCCTGTAACTTGCTTTGTAGACCAGGCAATTTTCAAACTTAGAGATCCACCTGCCTCTGTCTCCCAAGTGCTGCGATTAAAGGTGCGAGGTGAAATATTTAGACTTCTTACTGGTAGTGATGAAATAAAACTGTTAAAAGCAGGCAGCCACATGCAAAATAATCTGAATTAGAAAGATGTCAAAGTCCCCCACGAGGTTTCTTGCTCAGGCAATTGGATGGAGGTTTGTCTCATAACACTATAGGAAAGACTTTGGCAATAAAACAAGTTCTTTCTGCCCATATGAGATGGCAAATAGTAAAAAAAAAAACTCAAAAGAACAGACAGGGCTTGAAAGATACAGTCAGGGACAAAAGGCACAGTCCAATAAGGTGTGATTGAGGCTCTGAAGGGGCAGAAATGGGAGTGATCACTCTACAAAAGGTCAAAGCCTACAGTCCTACAGGTCAACGCAGGAAGCAGATGGGACCTTAGGACCGAAGAATGACAATTTCTTCGCTCAAATGTCAAACAGACTGGCAAAACTGGGGACACGAAGAACGAAAATGCCCGTGATACTTTTGATTCTTACTTAAAGTCGTAGAGAGCGGCGAAGAAAACCATTTCTTTCTGGCCTTAGGCTTTCAATAATAGCAAAGGCTGTGATCCAACGGACAAACCGTAAGATTCAAAATGTGTAAAAAAAAAAAAAAAAGCCTGAGAAATCAAAGGCCACGTGTTCTACAGTACTCCGAAGAGAACGTTAATCTCTCAAGTTACTGCTTAAAGTCGACGTCTGTCTAGATCCCCTAAATAGAATGTTTCTGGAGTGTATCAGCACCGAGTGGATTGTCGTGATTCACAACCACAAACGATGCCTGTGGAAACAAAGTGGAAGTGGAACCTCCACGATCTCACCCGAGGTTTAAGTCAAAGGAAGGAAGGAAAGCGCTGAAAGGGCTTGGGGCGCGCGGGGCCCAAGGTCCCCGCCGGGGCCGCCATGCGCGCGGGCGGAGCCGGGGCCCGGCCTGGGGTTCCCGCTGCCGCGCCACTCCACTCCCCGCCCCGGGCCCGCGTGCGCGGCTCACACTGCAGGATGATCTCCTCGAACGCCTGCCTCTGCAGCCGGTCCCGGCGCCTCAGTTCCTCCGCGATGTGGCGCTTCCAGCGGGGAAAGTCAGCGGCGCGGAGGCCCGACGACATGCCGAACGCTGCCCCGGCGCCCCAAGGCCGCCGATCCGCGCCGCCACTGGGAACTGCAGGCTGCAGCGTGCAGCGAGCGCCCGGCGCAGGGGGCCGGCCGCCGGAACCTGACCTCCACTTATAAGGGACCCCAGAGGCTATCCGGGATGGTTTTCCGGTCCCTGAAGGAAATGATTTTGGAGGAGGCCGGAAGGCCCGCCTCGTAGCTGGACGACGCAGGCTGCGCGCAAACTGGCGGCCGGAGACGTCGCGGGACGCTCTCAAATGACGCAACCTTGAAGCCGGAAGCGTCGGTGACCAGAAACTGCCGCTGTGGGGCGCCCTGGATGCGCGGAAGGAAACACGGAAGGGTCTGTTTTGTCCTCCAGTGTCACCTCCTTTTTCCTTATTTCAGCTCAGAAGTGGGGGCCACCCCTCTCCCAGTAGCTGAATGTTGTTGAGTGAGTGACTAAATAGTTGCCTAACCTGTAAAATAGGAACAGTAATGGGGCTTAACAGAATTGTGAAAAGCTATATAATGTAATTTCTGACCCAGCTGCATGTCAGGTCTATCTTTGAGTAGACAACCATGGCCCTCCCAGGCCTGCCCAACGTCTAGCTGCTGTAACGCGGGCCGGGCAGCTGACTTTTTGTGCATGTGTGGGTGTGCCTTCTAGGCTAGTCTCAAACCCCTGGACTCAAACCATCCTTTTGGTCTTTCGGTTCCTATACCGTCAAAGGAAATTAATCAGTTGAGAGACACGGTTTAAGCAGAAGTTTAGCAAACCAAACATTCTAAAGAAAGAGGAGTGGGCTGTTGCCAAGTGTCTCTGTTGGGGATTTTATTGACATTTTTATGAAAAGGAGGTAGGTAGCATATGGAGTAAGGTGTCTTTTTTTTTTTTTTTTTTTTTTGGTTTTTACGAGACAGGGTTTCTCTGTATTGTTTTGGAGGCTGTCGGACCAGCCCGGCCTCGAACTCACAGAGATCCTCCTGCCTCTGCCTCCCAAGTGCTGGGATTAAAGGTGTGTGCCACCACCGCCCAGCAAGGTGTCTCTTTCTCTCCCTTCGTGAATACACACATATACGCGAGAGCCTTAGTTCTTGATTAGCTGGGAGAAATATCTGTAGGCTCAAGGATATTTAAGCACATGGGGAATTCTGCTCATCAGGAGACTCTGCTATCAAATTGCTGCTGTAGCTTTCTTGAGCTGTGCTGGTTTTGTTTTTGTTTTCTTTTAACCTGATACAGTCTGGGAAGTGGGAACCTCCACTGAGAAAATGTCTCTGTAAGATTGGTCTGTAGGCAATTCGGTACAGTGTTTTCTTGATTAATGAACAAACTAAAGGCCGGGCTTGATGGCTCACTTAGGAGGCAGAGGCAGGTGGATTTCTCTGAGTTTAAGGCCAGCATGGTCTACATGGTGAGTTCCAGAATAGCCAAGGCTACATAGACCCTGTCTCAAAAAGCCAAAAAACAAAAAAGTAAGACAGTTGTTTCATATCTAGATCCTTTTTGAGACTGTTCAAGCTCCCAGAAAGATTTCTTGGCTCTCTGATAAGAAAAATTTGAATTTAGCCAGGTGGTGGTAATGCATGCCTTTAATCCCAACATTTGGGTGGCACAGGCAGGTGGGTCTCTTTAAGTTCAAGGCCAGCCTCGTTTACAGAGCGAGTTCCAGGGAAGCCAGGGCTACAGGGAGAAACCCTGTCTTGGAAAGCAAACAAAGAAAATTGGAGTTTTATTATGAGAGTTGGGCCATGGTTTCAAGAGAGTTTCTCAAACTGTACTAAGTTAGGAATGGAGATTAAGCTGTCTTTTAGGACTCCTTCGCCCAGATTCTCCCCTCAAGTTGCCTTGTATGTGCTTCTGGAGTATCTGAGACTGTATACAGTCACATGTGCCCCATGCCTAGAACCACTGACCTTAGAAACAGCCCTACCATCACTGAAGAAGTGGGTGGATGAAAACGAGAGCTAATAAAAGGAAGTGTGAACAGTGAAGCACAGTTTGTGTCCACCATTAGATTCCTAGGGTCTCCTTGAAAAGGTGGCTTTGGTCGATAAACTCAACGGAACAGAAAACTTGGGTCAAAATAGAATTGCCAGAACGTCATTGCCTTCAACAGACTAGTGAATACATTGTCTTTAACGTGTTAGTAAAGTTGTTACAGGGTCAATAAAATGGCTCAGTGGGTAAGGGCAACTGCTGCCAAGCCTGATGACCTGAGTTCAACTCCCAGGACCCACACAGAAGGAGATAATTGACTCCTGCCAGTTATCTTTTTACCACACACAAACACACACAGTGACACCCATATGTACACATATATACAACACAAACTCGTGTACATACAATAAGTAAATAAATGCAATTTAAAAAATAATGGAACTGCACAAAGTAGGAGGTCACAGAAGGGGGAAGAAATGTCAGAGAATCTTCTAATAAAATCCTTCAGAGACAAGTAGGAAATCCTTGGAACAGAACACACATGGAGCAGAGGAGGAGGACAGTCAGTTTCTAGAACTGTAGTAAAGACACTCCATTAGCAGTCACTCTGGAGGCACTGAAAGGACCCACGGGAATCAGAGATGTAAGCGATTACCTCCTACAGGGAAGGGAATGAAGAAACAGGTGCTGAAAGTCACCAGGAATATCTCCAACTGTAATGGTGGTGTCAACTGCAAAAGACCATGGAATTGAATCCTGACAACTAATCATGATCATTTTCTGACAGGAGTATAATTAAAATAGTGTTGATAGTTTTACTAATTTGCCCAGGCAGCATCCACTTGGAGTTACGTCAAATAATATTTTGATGGCATAACCATATGCAAAAATGTTTGTCATAGCATTACTAACAATAGTGTAGATGGTTTTCCAACCCTAAGAGATTGTCCACATTATTGTAGCCTCATTGTTAATTGCTCATAGTAAAAGCAGTATATGGTATAGATCTTATTTGTTTAAAAGAAGCATCCCTAAATCCTCAGACACTGTAGATACTTGTTGAATGATGGATAATCACTAAACTAAGTGGGATAAGCTCTGCTCCATCCTCTTTCCTAACCACAGCTCTGGCTGGCACACCCTGAACCATCCTTCCATTACTGTGCTCCCTCCCTCTGCAGAGTGTTGGGCCCACTCCTCCCTTCTGTAGCCTCTTCCTCACAGAGAAAAGTTCTTAATGACCAGGTCAAATCTCCCTCTTGCAAGTGTACCTCTCCTCATAGCACTCATTGCATTTGGAATTTCACACATGTGCTTGTGTCATTACTTGATGGAGGCCTGACTTCCCTAGCTCGTCTGTTGTAAGCTCCACAAAACAAAACCCCTGTGTATTTTTCTTATGATCACTACTTGTCCAGCAAAGACTTGAAAGTTTTGAAGTAGAAGGTGGTCAGCAAACACAGTTTAGTGAAGGAAGAATGCACCAATATTAACGTTTCTTGCGGCGTTACACTTACAATGCTGGTATTTCCCCTCAGCCTCATTTCTGTTTCATGTAGCCCAGGCTGGCCTGAGACTCACTGTGTGGCTGGAGCTGTGCTCGTACATACTCCTGGTCCTATCTCAGCCTTTCCAAGCATTTGGTGCGCGTCTTTGTTTATATATGTACCTGTCTAAGTCAGTGTTCTATTGCTGTGAAGAGACACCATGGCCACGACAGCTCTTATATAGGAAAGCATTTAAATGGGGCTGGCTTACAGTTTCAGAGTCCATTATCATCGTGGTGGGGAGCATGACGTCATGCAGGCAGATGTGGTGATAGAGGAACTGGGAGTTCTACATCTAGATCCTCAAGCAGCAGGGAAGAGAGACACTTGACCTAGATTGAGCATTTAAAACCCCAAAGCCCCCCCCCCAACACACTTCTTCCAACAAGGCCACACCTAATCCCTGTCAAGTATTGACACTCCCTAATGATCAAGCATTCAAATATATGAACTTATGGGGGCCATTCCTATTCAAGACACCACAGTACCTTCTGTGCATGTTCTAACTGGTAGATTGTATATACACACTATATATGCTTGAAAAGGTTCCACAAATGGCCATGTAGTTATTGACCAACTGAGGAGCAGCATGCTCAGCCCTGTGGATGACAGCATGAGCAGGACTACTTCAGCAGGACTGTGAGCTATGCACTCTTCTGAGCATATTAGACTTCTCACAATAACACCACTTGGCTATCATTAGTTAGGGTTCCCATTGCCAGCCTTATTTACGGCTGAGGAACCTGAGGCACAAAGAGGTTAAATAACTTGCCTGACGAAGCCTGGTTAATTAGACCTGTGTTCAGATACAGGCAGCCAGATGCCAGTGCGGTGCTTTTAACCACTCACTTAACTAGCTAGTTTCTTGTCCAGCTGTCATTACAGGTCACTGGAACCCTTTGCACAAACAAATGTTATCATATTTTATTTCTGTCTTTAGAGACAGCTCTGCTGTCCTGGAACTTGCTATGTTGAACAAATCTGGCCCTGAGTTTACAGAGATCAGGCTGCCTCTGCCTCCCAGTGCTAAGACTAAAGGCATGAGCCACCACACGGGCTAGAGAACAAATTTAAATAATCTGTAATTCATCTGCAAATTAGCCAGTATGGAGGGCACCCAGCAGTTAGCCAGCAGGCAGTGATGGGGAGGCCTCAGTGCATTTACAGGCTCTGAAGGAAACAAATGGACCAGAGATTAGTAACAGCAATCAGCAGGAAATGAGGCTGTCAGGATCTTACAGTGACTGATAACAGATCTGAAGAGATTTTTTTCTGTTCTGGTAAATAACTATTGTCAACCAGATTTGGCATGCTTTGCTGGGAAGCGGCGTTTGTGAAATGGTTCTGACTGCCCATAATGGATGTAAGCAGAACATGAAATATATTGTAGCAACATGAGAATCAGTACAGATTTGCTCACAAGAGTGGAAGGAGCATCACTTACCAAGGCTCTTTGAGCACTGAGACAAAGCACCACCTGCTTTTGCATAATGGATTTTCAGTGGTGTCATTTCTTCTGCTGAGACCTTCTAGGAGATTCTTACCCTAAGCCTTGTTGGATGACTTTTCCTAGGCAGACATGAACAAGCTGTTATCCCCCAGATAGGTTACCAATGACAGACTACAGTGATAATTCCACAAAGACCCAACTCGGTGAAGCAGTGAGTTTTATTGTCTTGC